CTTCCTCTGATGGCGCCCTGGGACTGTGCAGCTTGCCCAGGGCTACACAGGCTGGCTTTACACACAGGAGGCACACAGTGGGGGAATCGAACTCCCAACCTCACAGTAGAAGTACAAAAAAAACTGCAAAATGGCTGGGCAACCTCAGCAAAGCAGGGAATGTTTTCCTGATTGGCCAGAAGCCTAAGAGTTGCTTTCTCAAGGGTATGTTGCAACATGGATGTAACTAAGGCATGGATGACTGTTCCTAAGTCAGGTTGAAACAGGATGGATCATAGCTGGCACACTAAAGTTGAGTTGTACATAAGGAGTTCCTTATTCTGCTCCACCTGTTGGGAGTCCAAAAGAAGTTCAGAGTCAAGGAGAACCCCCAGCAAACAAACCTGACCTGTCATGGGGAGCAGAACCCCTTCTAGATCAGGTTGAATCCGAGTTACTGAGTTTCTACTGCCCAGCAGCACCTCTGTCTTGCCAGAATTTAATTCCAGCTGGTTCAACCACCCCATGATTGAGCTCAGGCCAGATTTACGGGTCCTCCTGACTGCTTCCTCGGTATCGGGTGTCAAGGAGCAGTAAAGCTGGGTGTCATCAACCTACTGGAAGCATCTCACTCCAAAGCTTTGAATGGCCTCTTCCAGGGGCTTCCTATAGTAGCACAGAAAAGAAGGTCACGTCTACAGGGTCATGACATGCCAAAGGATGGTGTTGAACAATGCTGCTCCAAGACCACCCGTTAAGTGTGCCCCAACAGGGAAGATGGAGAGCACTGTGATACAGTGCCCCCTGCACCCAACCTAGCCAGGTGATCAAGGTGAGACATTAGTAGGAGTGTTGGGACTGTAAATGCTAGTTGATGAGCAAAAGGAGTGGACTGCTCTGTAAAAATTGAAATTTTTCTGCTCTGTGATTCCCTGCACTTCTGCTGTGCAGCTAGAAGAATTTAACCAGAAATTCAAAATCCTGCAACATGCACAATGTTCATTATACAAGAACATCCACAGCAGTTACAGGCAAACAATATAATGGAGTTCAGGAAAAAAGTACTTTTTATACTGTGACTCTCAGAATCCCCCAGTCAGTGTGGCTACCGCATAGCATGGCTTTATAATTTTGATATCTTGATGGTAACAAACCAACAAAGCCCTGTATACTTTGACTATTCCAGCTAACAATATGGCACGTTCTCACCTTATTTAAGAATGTTTTGCACCGTTTTTGTTTTCCATCTTCATCATTAAAGTTACTGTTTCGTTCTAATTATCTGGTAAACACAACCATCCTGCTGTCAATCCAGTAAGGCACGATTTTCCAGGAAATTTCCCTGCAAATAATGGGCTGGAATGGGCAAGAAGGTTAAATCCAGAGCCTGCACAGTGGGAAAAAAATCTGCTGCTCCAATTGATTTTAAATTTTATGGAATGCTTTCCTCCAAACCAGAACCTCAGGTGGGTAGCCCTGCATAACAACAGCAAAAAGGAAACAAACGCTAATGTACCCTTTGGTCGAATGCAAAGCAACCTTGCTGGAGAATTGTGTTGTTTTCCTGCCTGCTTGTTTGTTTTGCTTCCTTCTGTTTAGTCTGAGAACCATTTTGGACCAAAAGAGGCAGGATGGGGACCCCTGGCCGTTCTCACAATGATGCAGAGGGGGAATCCGACACACAATCAGCCCTTGTGTTCAAAACCAAAACACATGTGTGAAACATTTAATAATTGCAGCATTTGTGGGGAAAAGGAATGAATAATAAAGATCCAGATAGAAAAGTTACTTTTTTTAAAAAAAAGCAATTTCTTTGTCTTATTTGTAAGGGTGTTTGAAAAGCACCCCATGGAGAACAGACATTACCATGGGGCAGATAATTCATTACATCACGTGTTCTGTGGTTTGTTGTTGTTACTCTCTCTGACTTTTTAAATATTAAAATGATTAGCCAGGACAAGAATATGAAATGAAAGAATGATTCCCAGCCAGAGGTGGGATTGAACCAAGCTACAAATTAAAAAAAAACACAACGAGCTGGTTTGTGTTTCTGTTCATGCAAGCTGTTTTGCCAAAATAAAAAAAAAAAAAAAAAAAAAACAATGAGCTGGTTTGTGTTTTGGTTCATGCAAGCTGTTTTGCCAAAATAAAGCATACAATTATGTTTAGTCCTTTTATCTCCCACTTCTGTTAACACAAATTGATCGCAGATATTTGTAAGACAGAGAAAAGGCTACCTATGGCTCTGAAGGCTGGGAAGTATATATTTTTAAAGGAACTCTCCTTGCATTACGCATTATTTGAGGGTACTCAGGTATTCATTATGGTGATTGCTGCTTCAACTATACTGTAATGTGTTGTGCAGCGTAAGTAACTATTGCGACGTTGCTGCTGCAGTATAGTTCCATGACATCCTAATTGCCAAAGGGACTTAGTTACGGGTAATGGCCTTGCTAGCAACTAGTTCTTTCTGAACTGTTGGATAAGGTGACTAATTCTAGACTGGCAGTAGCCACTCCTGGCAGTTTCCCCATCACTTTGAGAATCCATCAGAAACACAGGAGAAGCAGGAGTTGGGGGGGTCCCCAACGCCCCATGAACCATTCTGTCTTTTAAAGAGTGCTAAGCGGTGGAATCGACCTCCTCTGAAGTCACACTTCCTCCCGCCTAGGTGTGGCCCTGGCGCTTGGAAACACAGGAGTCTATAAAGAGAAACTCTGTGTGTTTGTGTGTGTGTGTGGGAGTGGGAGTGGGAGTGTGACAGGCGGGAGGGTCAGATCCAATAAAACCTGTGTCCATTCTGCTGAGGAGACCGGCTGCTGGGCTGCAGTCCAGGTTGCCAGACGCCAGCTCCGTGGTGGAGGGTGATGGGAGAGGTCACCCAGATGGCGTTTACAATGATCTTATCTCTGCCCAGGAATATCCAACGTTTCCTCTCTCTGTGCAACCGCTGCAAATACAAAGGGCAAACAGCTTGAGGGTGGGAAAGGCAGCGCACTGCCTCCACCCCCCTCCTGCCCCCCACACTTCCATGTCTCCCCCCCCACTTGCTGCATGTCTGCCTGGTCCCTGGCTCACCCACCTGCCCCATCAGCTGGGGCTTGTTTTTCTGTGCTCCTTTGTCCAAAGGCCACCTGGTGCGGGGGAGAAGCCAGCGGGGGGGGTGGGCTCTCAGCCCAGGCGGGCTCATAATGGATGCCTGGAGTCCGGCTTGTCCCCAATGAAAGTGAAAAGAGGTGGGCGACCGGGGTTATTGTTATGCCCGAGACACAAGGCAGCGTGTTTATGTCACACCCTCATCCGCTGGCCAGTCCACTCGCCTTGGAACCCTTTCCCTCTCGGGGGAGTTGGGGATGGACAAGGGCGAGGGTCAGCGAAGCCCTGACCGTCTCCACATAGCCAGCCCTTCTTAACCAAACTATATAGGTGATCTTTTGACCCAACGACCAGTTGGGGCCAAAGGCGGCTGCTTCTGATGGCAATGGAGGAATGGAAGCACCATCAGGGAAGAAGCTCAGAGAACCGCTACACCAGGCACGGAGCCTGGAAAAAAATGCCCTTCTCTATTGAGTTGTCCCGGCCATGGTTTCCAGGCATTGTCACCCACAGACACCTGGCGGATACGCTTTGATGGTCTTCCTGCGCTGAGCAGGGGGTTGGACTTGATGGTCTTGTCGACCCCTTCCAACTTCACTTTTCTATGACTCTATGATTCTATAAGGTTGTGAACCACTGGCTTAAAGGGTCTGATCCCTGGAGTTTTTGTCCAAAAATATACCTTTCCCAGGGTCTTTGCAGACGTTTTTCATGTGTCAACGATGTCACCATCCTGCCTCATTATTCCACTCGCCTCGAAATGTGTTAGAGCATGGGTGTAAAGACTTGGTGTTGGCTTAAGGGTCTACCAGCAAGATTAGGTCTACATCATGCTGGACATTTTGGAGCAGGGAAGCCTTGACCAGGTCCTTCATTCCCAGGCCAGGCCCAGAACTCACAAAAACAAACACACACTAAAAAGATGGCCAACTGATCTGAGAATCAACAGGCTTTCAACAGAACCTAGGGAATCTTTCTCGAGGGCTTAGCTGCCATAGAATCACGCCGAGTTCCTGCAACGCATGTCAAATTCCCTTAACTCTGCAAAAATCTGGAAGGCAAAGATCACAGTGAAACTAAAAAATAAAATAAGAGAATGGTCAGTGTGCTGTTCAAAAAACTGAGGACAGTTCTGAGTTCAAATCCCCACTCAGTGATGAGGCGTATGGGATGATCCTAATCTAATCGCTATTTTTCATTGCAGCCTACCTCACAGGGTTGTTGCAGGAGAGAAGAAAAAGTCACATCATTACCTTGCCCTCCTTAGAAGGAAGGTCTAATATAAAAGTAAAGAAAGATTTATTTATTTTTTTGGAAAACTAAGGGTAAATCTTTCTGAACGGATACATCATTCTGCCAAGCGGCTGGCCAATGTCCCATCCTCTTGCAAGGACGGGTTCACAGCATTCCTCTAAATGACTCTTGTTTATGTTTGGACAACACATCTATGATCTTTGAGGTCTATGACTCAGACGCTGCCTCTCTCAACTTCTTGTGGAGCCATAAAAATCAGTTTTATGGGACAGCTCCAGAGACTCTGGGGCTACCTTCCATAATTAACTTCTTATGTCTTCATGGTTGTATTTCTGAGAACATCAGAAGTTGGGTCCAGTTAGCCTGGTAATACTAACACCACGATTCTCCTAGGTTTCAGGAAGGATTCTTTCGTGACCCTCCCTGGGGATGCTGGGAATTGATGCTGCAACCGGCAGCAGTACAAAGCAGGTGACCTTCCAGTGGACGTACATCCACTCCCCTGTTCTACCAGAACCTACTCCAGTGTGTGGCCGGCAAAGGGGTGATGTTGTAGCAACATGGAGGGGAATCTTCCAGACAGTGGACATGTGTGTTAGCTTTTCCTGGTTCCTTCCGTCTTGAAAGATGCTGAAAGGGGTTCACTGTGACTCACATCTTCACCATGGGACATGGTTGACAAGGGAGTGAACAGCACTGCCCAGCTCCTAACTCACAAAGAAGACAGGAGGATGTGAGCTCAAGGAAATGGTCTGGAAGACCACAACGATTGTGCTGTGTGGAGTGCCTTCTTCTCGATAAGAGGGAGTCTCCTGTCACGGCTGTTGCCACAGGCAACATAGGAGCTGCCCCTCCAAACCATCTTTCTCTTGAATGAAGTGAACAGAGGACAAACCAAGCGATTCTTTGGGTTGAGGTGGGTCTGTGGTGAGTCTTTATTGGGTGATGAATTCACACAAAGATTAAGGAATGCCACAGCACTCAACTTCTCCCTGGTATAAAACAGCATTAAAATTATACCATGGATTCCCTCACCCAGAGAAAGGTGGCAAAAAATTACCCTAAATAAATAATAAAGCAAACCAAGAGGGGAAAAGATTGAGAATCCATGAGGGGAAAAAGCGGATCGCAACTAAAAATGAGGAACGTCATCCGGATGTTGCAGGAATCTGCACGATGATCAGTGCTGGATGAGGAACTTTAAAAGGGTATGGATGCCCCATCTGGAAAGGAACGTGGTGAAAAATTAAAACACGAACACATGGAAACATCACCTTAAGGTAGTAGATTCATGTTAAATCGATAAGGATGAGAAAAGCGATCTCCGCTGTGTTAAGGGTCGTTTTTCAGATTTCCCAGCGGCTCATGAAAACAGAAGGAAGGACATAGCCAAAGATGATAATTTTCATATTTCTATTATATTTTTAGAAAAACACAGCACCATGGTGATGCAGTGTGAAGTGCATCATGAATTTGTGTTACCAGACTAAAGCATTAACTTTTAAAAATGGGGTCACGCTGAAAAAGCCCCTTTTCATAATTCAGCGGCCAAATTCTTTCATTCAGACATGGCAAATGGCCACCAGAAGCCCCCTTGACAGCACAAGTGGACTTCCCTGACAAATTTTCACACACACACACACATACACCAATTTTTTTAAAAAAATATCAAGGACTGGGTGGGTGGCGGATGGCGTCAGAAGTGCCAGGGAGTCACAAAATGGCCCTGGGGGCACCATGTGGTGCCCAGGGCCCATGAGGGGCCACCCCTATGACAAGGAAAAGGCACTGCATCTTTGTTTTTCTCATTTGAAATGCTCCAATTTGGGGGAGGGGAGGGGGTGGTTTTGTTTTCAGTTTTTCTGCCCAATTTCTCCTCTTGGCAGAGAATGAGACGTTGACGCAGCGAGACGCAACCCTGGCAAGGACGCAGTCTGGATTTCCCAACAGGCTTGCTTTTCATCCTCCTTCTGGAGCCAAATTTCCTTGTCTGTCCCATCAAAAGCCAGCCATTTTTCATCGCTTTGAATGTGTCACAAGGAAACGCACAGTTGTGCTGAAGCACCTCTTTCACGGCAGCTGCCTCGTTGCCCTAAGTTTATGATCGGCGTCTGACCTCTCACCCTGGCCCAACAGATGACGGACGGGATTCTTTTCCTTTCTCGTTTTCTGAAATTTGGAAGAAAAAAAAGACATCCTGCTTATATCCACACAGACCTTCAGCTGCAATTAAGCGAGCGTAATGCGGTATATATAAACATTCCCACGAAACGGCCGATGCCCTCCACCATCTCTCCCATCAGCCAGGTTCCTCTTTCAAATCTTTATCTTTCCCTATTTATACCATTTTGTCCTTCCATCAGCAAAAACCACCTCCATGGAGTAGAAAGGAAGTCAAGAGCTGATAGAAGATGTGGGTGGTTCTGTTGAGGGACGAGACGCCACCTAGAGGCACCAGATTTTATCCCATTCTGGCACTGAAGGCACACTCAACGGTGTTCTGCATTGTTATTCCTCCTGCGGCTCACAATGATGAACACGATCATGGCGCTACGCCTAAAATTTACTCAGTTCTGCACACAGACTGAAAATGAAACAGCCCCAGACAGCAAGGCATCATTTTACGATACGCAGCACAAAAGGAAAAAGCGACGAGGAGGGAAGAGGAAAACTGAAGAATCAAAATAATCTCAGCCTACGGTGGGTCAATGTGCACATACAACTGCATTGTAGAGTTGTGTTTAGTTTGACATGGCAATGCTGTGCCCAATTCTCAGCAGTCGGTGCCCTCTACCCATGTGCTGTGTACCTGGGTGTGCCACTTTTTCATAGCCTCAAGGTGTTTCTTTCATTTCCCAGGACTGAACCTGGGAACATGCGCACGCCAAGCATGAGCTGTGGCACAGCTGGAAGAAGTAATTTCTTAAACCACAATTCATAGAATCTTGTCACTTAACAGCATTGTCACTGGGATTTTCAAAACGGTGGTCCTAAATTGTTATCATCACCTTAGAGAGGCAGAGCTGGAAGGGACCCTATCGATCATCTAGTCCAGCCCCATGGGGGATTGAACTTCCAGCCTCTGGCTCTGCAGTGAGAGACTTAAACCACTGAGCTATCCAACAGCTCTTCTCTCCTCTTCTGCTCCAAAAGAAAATGTAAACGTAAGGAGGAGTTTGCAAGATGGAAAAGAGGTTGGCACTATATATATGCTGTAGTTAACGTCTGGAAATTTTAAATTTTAAGAGCCCAGCAAGAAATGCAGCTTAAACCCTTGGTTCTTTTTGTCTACAGGCAAAAGAATCCACTAGGGAGAAAGGATTGTTGTTTTGTTTAGGGTTAAATACAGATTGGATTTTCCCAAATCACTTCCAGACATAACACTCACTCCTCACCACCCCCTAAAAAACCCCATAGCGTGCAATTTCTCTGCACCAGCCTCTTGCACAATCCAGTGCCCCAGCGGAGCCAATGCAACGTTTCAGGTTTCAAGCCGGGGTCCAGGGTGTGTTTGCAACCATCAGAGGTTTGGGAAGGATCAGAGGAAGGAGGGAGAGCAAAGGACTTTTGCTTGCAACCTGGATCTTTGGGCTGGCTCTCTGAGAGGGAGCTCCGAAACAATGCAACTTAATTTAACAAGCCCCCTTTTCATTCTGGAAGGGAACCACAGCAATGGGCATTAAAACCTCACACCCTGAATTAATTTCCCTGTATGCCATTCCATTGTTATGAAGAACTACATCTCAACTGGAGCGCCCGAGAAGAATGTTGGAAAATCATCAGGTCATGGCAAATTCAGTTATTGGACACAACTAGATTAGATCCATCGAATCAATGCAACTTCTATAAACTTGGGTTTATAAGTGCCCTGTGGATTCTAGGAGTCTCCTCCAGTTATGACAACAATTGCACTTACCCTGTTTCCCCGAAAATAAGAACTAACTTCAAAATAAGCCCTAGTAGGATTTTTCAGGATGCTCGTCATAGAAGCCCTACCCAAAAAATAAGCCCCAGTGAAGGCAAACCCCGCCCTCCACCATTGGGCAGCAACCTTAAGATGACATGACTGTATTTGAATAAATGTAGATAGTTGTAGGATGAGATGGCTGGACAGTGTCTGCGAAGCAACCAACATGAAATTGACACAACTATGGGAGGCAGTGGAGGATAGGAGGGCCTGGCGTGCTCTGGTTCATGGGGTCACAAAGAGTCAGACACGACTAATCGACGATGAGATAGTTGTACATGAAAAAAATTAATAAATATAACATCCCCTGAAAATAATCCCTATTGAGTTGTGTTTTTTTTTTTTTTTAGCAAAAATTAATATAAGACCCTATCTTGTCTTTGGGGAAACACGGTAGCTTTCCTTGGTTATTTGCATTTGTTGTTTTTGTTATGTGGCATCAAGTCACCTCTGTCCTATGGCAATCCTATGCATGAGCCATCTCCAAAATGTCCTATCCTCAACTGCCCTGCTCAACTCTTGCAGACTCAAGTTTATGGCTTCCTTTAAGAAGTCAAACCATCACATATTTGGTTTTCCTCATTTCCTGTTGCCCCCCACTCTTCCCAGCGTTATGGTCTTTTCCAGAGCATCCTCCCTTCTCATGAGCTGCCCAAAGTAGAACAGCTTCAGATTCAACCTTTTCCCCTCCGGGCTTGATTCGGTCTAGGACCCACTTGTTTGTCTTCCTGGCAGTCCAGATTGTCCACCAAGCTCTCCTCCAGCATCACATGTCAAATGAATCCAGTTTTTCCCCTGTCTGCTTTCTTCACTGTCCAGCCTTCACACCCATACCTGGTGATCAGGAATACAAGAGTGTGGATGATCTTAGCCTTGGTCCCTCCAGTGACCCATCCTGACACTGGATGACCTATTCTAGTTCTTTCATTGCTGCCTTTCCGAGTCTCAGTCTTCTGATTTCTTGGCATTGGTCTCTACTTGGATTGATGATTGAACCAAGATACAAAAAATCTCTGTTTCAGTTTCTTCGTTGTTAACATTAAAGATGTGTAGTTCTTGTATAGTCATGATTTTGGTCTTCTAATGTTCAACTTAGTATTCTGTAATCATCAATACAGAAATGTTTTTTAAAGAAATAGACAAAAAATGGCATCTGGATGAATCAGCTTGTAGGTGTGTATGCATCAGCTTAAATAGGAATCATAGTTCTTATTCTGACTGAGAATATGTCTACACAGTGAGAGAAATACAACTGCACTCATGATGAAGTAGCACCAGGGTTCTTTTCAAATGACACACAGGGATAAAAGAAACTTTGTTAGACAGCCTTGTTAGCAGTTTGTTAATGTAGCTCTTTTATAGTCCTATAGGAGGCACAGCAACCAAAGAACTATCAAATAAGCCAGCGTCAGAGCACTGGCAC